GAGAGAGTGTGCATGCATATTTTATATGTGTATGTATATATATATATATGTATATATATTTAATTTTTTTAATTTTTAATTTTAATTTTTATTTATTTATTTATTTTTGGTGCTTCGGCCCCCCAATTGAGACAGCAACCCAGCCCCCGGCTCAAAAAGGTTGCCTACCCCTGCTCTAAAGGATGCCCAGATCAGTACATGGCATAATTTTAAAAACTTTATGAAAACATCAGTCATCTAAACTTTAAAAAGAGCACAATAGACATTTGTAAAACAGTAAGGTGAAAAAGCCCAGGCAAATATACTGTTAATTGTTTCCTACTGCACTTTCTTGGGAAGAGAATTCATGTATGTATGTATGTATGTATGTACTGGTATATCCCCACCAGGAATGCCCTATGTTGCTTCCCCACACTACAGGCTATGGATATTGGTAAGATTATGAGCAGGGTCTCCCAAACAGATCTTAAAACATGGATTGACTGGAGCCAGAAGAGATTACCTTTTAGGTACCATACTTGCTGTCTTATTGGTTAAACCAGCCTTAAAAGCATATAATTATTTCTATTGATACAAATAGTATCTTATAGAAAAGGTAGCATGCTAGAAATATTCCCTCCACATGAATCTCGGCACCACCAGACTATACTGCACTGTGAAAGTGCACACAATGCTTCCATGTTCAAACAAAAGTGACAATGTTCACAAGAAGTATGGGAGTCTTTTTTCTATCCATACTTGGGTCTGACTCTCTTGCAAACAGTAAACCAAGCTTTTAATCAGGTCTATCAGGGGTAGAATGCGTTCCCTTGCAAAATAATTCCTTTTAACAAGAAAAATAGATGTCAGAGAGATATTTCCATGGTAGCATTTTTTGTTGTATGCCTTCAAGTAATTTCTAACTTATGGTGACCCTAAGGCAAACCTATCATTGGGTTTTCTTGGCAAGATTTGCCAGTCTTAAAAAAAATTACTCCCCTTTGCCTCCATGGAAAGACATTCAGTCCATGAACTCTCATCTGCAGCCTGATAGGCTATGGCCCAGTCACAGTTCCTTCATGGGAATTAGCGTTCTGATTAATGTATACACCAAAAGCATGTAAGATAAGTGCAACCCAAAACTACAGAGAGACATTCACTGCACAGTATTATAAGGGGATGGAGAAGAACATGAACAAGGTTCAAGAAGCATACTCTACAACAGGGGTAGGCAACCTTTCCCCTTTAAGGGCCAAGGGACTTCAGCTCCCAGAAGCCTCAGCCATGTTGGCCAATAGTCCCATGTTGGCCAATAGCTCCTGGGATTCTGGGAGCTGAAGTCCCTCGGCCCTTAAAGGGGAAAGGTTGCCTACCCCTGCTCGACAAAGAGACTGGTGAAACAATACTCATGTGAGTCCTCCATGTAATTTCTAAGGTCATATGCTTGTTGGCTAGCGCTAACAGTATACCCAGTGTTTTCATTAATCTTACAAAACTCAGAGTAAGTGCTTGCAAGGACAAGATACCATGGCCTGCAAAGAAGATATACTGTCACAAAGATGATCTTAATTTTGCCACAATAATCTTGGTATAGCATACATGACTCTGCATATATTTCAGTTCGTTCCATGGCAATTATCAACTACTTGTAATCCTGTCAGGAATGTTTATACAATCTATAAACAGTGGTTTTAGTTGTTATGATTGACTGGATGTGAGGGACATCTGCCTGCGACATCTGTCACCCCACTGATCACTAGGGTTCATCTGACTAGCTATTATGGAGAGAATGAATAACAATGTATCTTTATCTCTGCTGTTTTGTCATTTTTCTGAACAACTTTCATCTGAAGTATACAAAAAAGTGGTTTACAAATAAAGTGACCAACAATCGTGAATGAACATGTACTGGATGGTTCAGAATCCTAACAAACTCATACCTTGCTTGGAACTTTTCTTTGAAAAAAATAAGAGAAAGGGAACACTTTTGTAGCAGGAATCATACCAGCTGCTAATCTCAAACTAGACTGTGATGATGGATATGCCAATAAGTGAAGGCAGAAGTAAAGCCATAAAATATATATTCTGGAATGCAAGAGAAATCAAATTGGTGAGGAAGACAGGGGTAGGGTTTTGTTTTGTTATGTTTAAAAATCACACTTAAATTTTTTTGTTACCTCACCCCACCCAGCACCTTCTTGTAGCTATAGCTTGCTGATTCCAACGTCACCTATTCATAAGTTTTAAAGGAAGCTAAATGTACTTATTGTTCAGCAGTGAAACTGTTAGAATTTAAAAGAGAAGAATCCGCAATGAAATGTTGCCCTCCTTCCAAAATCCACTAAAAACGTCAAAGGTAATTACAAATTTTTATCAAAGATGTCAGATTCTCATACTAATCCTCCTACAGTCTGACACTGCTATTCTTCAACTTTTATGCATGTGAACAGTTATCACTTTGTTTGTATGTCACAAGAGACAACATAATCAATAGTTTTCATATCTTACTCTTCATACTTTTTGTTAATGTATTTTCTGCATGCTGTCTACTTTGTTCAAGTATAAAACCTGTTACTGCTTGAATAGGTAACAGTTATCTCCACATTAAACATTTTAACAGAAGATAAAGCAAAGACATCTTCAAGATTTTTTTTTTAAAAAAATCTCTACTATAGAAAACGGTTATAGGAGACATATTAAAATGACCACACTTATACAAAGGCAACAAAACCGTAGGGAGAGGCGGGAAATATAAATAAATTATATTATTATTATTATATTATTAAAACAGATACCTCTGTTGTTGTTGTTGTTGTTTTAAATCTGTTAAATTGAGGGGGGAAACTGCAATTTCCCTTTACTCAAATAATAATAATAATAATAATAATAATAATAATAATAATAATAATAATTTATCTATATATCCCGACTCTCCCTGCGGATCAAGGGGGGAGCACAAAATAAAAGAAAATACAATAAGCTAAAACATGACAATAA